TTGTTTCCATGCATTAAAGAACCTGGACACTGCAGACCTCTTCCCTTCCTTATTTTGCTCCTGCATATAAGGTTCGTGTTGCCCCAGTTCAAATTCAGGCGCCCAGTCTCTTTCTTCTTAGGTTGCTAACAAAAACGAAAATAGCGGCTCGTATAAGTTGTACGTAAGTGTATTATTATTATCATTATATATTATAGCTTGATTCTAGCTAGCATATTTCAAATGATCAAAACTAGCTAATTAATTAACTTGTATCATCTCTCTCTCTCTCTCTCTCTCTCTCTCTTTATTATTATTATTATTATTATTATTATTATTATTATTATTATTATTATTTATTTTTTGGGGAGAAAAAAAGGATGGTTTCACACAATATACCTCAGACTTAAAACCTGTTAGCCCTGTTTGGCAAAGGGTTAAGGAAGAGGAGTTAAAAAGAAGTATTAATGTACTTAGTCCATTCAATAATCTGAAGGACTAAATTATTAACCCGTTAAATAAGTTTTATTTTAGTCCTTGTGATCAGTTTTAATGTTTGGGAATAACAATGATTTTTGACTATTTTCTTTATAATTAGAATGATTAACTCTTAATCCTTTTAAATAGGAGTATTAGTAAACCCCTCATTTTGAAGGGTTAACTTATTTTAATCCCTCTAGAGGGGTTAGCTTAACCCTTCTGTATTTTTTATGTTTGGCAAATTATGGAGGGTTAAATCACTTTAACCATTGCATAGATTTTTTGTGTTTGGCGAGTTATGAAGGGGTTAAGTCTCCTTAACCCCTCACTTAACTCTTTGCCAAACGGTACCGTTAGTTATAACATATATGTTAATCCTTGATTATATAAACAAGCTTAGATGCATTTTATATCAATATGTTACCAGAACAAAGTTCTTAACCTACAAAACTTCAGTCTCAAAGCTTGTCAACCATCTTGAGTTTTGAGTTATTTGTGACATTATTAGCCTTTTGTTGATAATGAAGACTAGTTAATTAACTTGTATTCGTATCATCTATTTAGGGTTGAATTTCACAAAGGATCCGGATCACCCTACACTACCAAAAAAATAAAAAATAAAAAAGTAATGAAGGAGAGACCACTACGTTGTTAGAAGCGTTGATTGTCTAATCGATGGTTATGATTTGTCTTTAAGTGTAAATTAGGTATGATTGCAATATATGAGGGTATGATGACTTCTAAATTTAGAATTGAATCTTAAATATTACTCATAAAATAATCACAATTAGTATGAAAAGTAGTGATCTCTCCACCACTTAATTTGTTGTAGTGGAGAGGATCCAAATTCTTTTACAAAACCAACTTTAAGTTTGATCATTTTTGAGATGACCCTCTTAAAATTTAAAATGTCCCAAAACCCCCTATGTTTTGGGGTTCTCAGAAAACCCCTTCACCTTTAAATCTTTTTTTAGAAACGTCCTTCATGACACTAGGTATTTGTTTTTTTTTTTTCTTTCTTGGGTTTTCTTTCTCAGAAAACCCCTTCACCTTCAAATCTTTTTTTTTTTCATAGGTCACTCTGGGGTTGGCTTTAAGCCTGCGACGCCGCGGACGGTTTCTTCTTCCACTGAGAGATGGACAACATAATGTTGATGGTGGGGGATCAATAAAGTAGAGAATGATTATGTGTACATGATAAGGTTTGGGATTAATTGGTGCCCTTTCGCTTATAAAATATGTGTTGTAATTAAGCCATAGGTGACTAGTATATATATGCGATATGTTTTGTAGATAGTCACGGATATTAATCTGTTTCGTATACTATTCCTCTAATCAACTATTGATCAATCTAACCCACTTCGTATAAATCTTGACGGTTGAGAGATCATTTCAACATGAATTCTACAATTTTAGGTTTCATTTTATGCTGAATTATTAAAAAAAAGGTATTAATCAATCCAAAGATAGGTATATATCCAATTGTAAGGGAAAAGGAAATAAATGTTACGCCGCATGCATCTTTGATGTGGCTCCACCTAATCGGGTTCACATGTTCAGGGAAGCACCAATGACATTCATAGTTTGTAAAAACCAAATGCTTAATTGCACTTTTAATACCCTATAGTTTTCCCCACTTTGCATTTATGTATACTCATTTATTTTTGGCAGCACTTATATGCCCTAAAGTTTTAAAACTTACATTTATATATCCTCGTTTGTTTTGTCAATACTTATATATTCTAAAGTTTTGAACATTGGCACTTAAATACCCTAAAGTTTTAAAACGTACACTTAGATCTCCTCAATTAAGAAAAATTGAGGGTATTTAAGTGTGAGTTTTGAAAAATTTAGGACATATAATTAAGTGCTACAAAAAATAAGTGAGGATATATATGTGCGAAGTAGGGGAAACTATATGGTAACTAAGTGCAATTAATTAAGCCAAAGCCAAATAAGAAACGTCTGTCAACGTTGTATATGTCTGAACTGAACGTTAAAGAAAAATGTCAGAGTTAGGAATTATTTTCGGAAATGGTCTTTCTGATGATTAAGTCAGTATCTTTATTCTATGAGGACAATAAGAAATTAAAAATTAGGGTTTGATTGTATTTGTATCCACACCTTTCCTTGGTGGGTTAATTATGCCTTTTGGAATTATTTTGAAAATATTTTGAAATTTCATTGTGATTAGAGTAGTAGAGTAGTGGGTGTGTGTGTATATAGTTGAGCTAGGCTATTAGTAATAGTATCCAACATGCGGATATTATCAATCTAATTTTAAAAATCGAAACAAAAAATGAAAATCCAAACCACTAGATGTGATCCACTACAAATGAACTAGTTAGCAATAAAATTCTAAAGAATTTTATCATCATTAATCCATGCAAAATATGTCGAAGTCAACATTTCGGAATTTTTGTGACGTTGGTTAATTTTTACCTCTTAATATATAATTCAAAACACGTTGAAATTATTTGAATTTTTATTTCTAACTAGTTCATGTATATTAGATCACATCTAGTGGTTTGGATTTCAATTTTTGGTTTTGATTTTTAAAATTGGTCGGGGTTGATAGTATCCGCATATTGGATACTATTAATAGTAGTCTAGCTCAATTCATATATATAGAGGAGAGGCTCCAAAATAAGAATTTGAATCATCTCCACTGTTTTTAAAAAAAGTAGTAGAAAAACCATTAATTTTAATTCCAACCATTGATTATCTAGTGGGTGATTGTGATACTTTATAAATCTAATACTCATTATAACCCTTATATTACACTCATTCCTAATTTGCACCCTAAGAAAAAATCATAACCATTCACTAGGTAATCAATGATTATGATGAAAAAATAAATTAACCCTATACTACTTGTTTTGATAACGGAGAGGATCCAAATTGTGAATGATAGTGACTTGTGGGGGCCACGAGACCATGATTTCAGGCCACTTGTTTTTGATTGAACGTGTTAGGAAATTTAGGCCCACCCGATACATCATTATAAATACCCCTAGTTCTTCCTAGGGTTTGGGTGGGCAAGTACAGTGCAAGGTTTTGTGGCTGCGGAAAAATCGCAGCAGGAGGAAAAGAGGGGGCTTCTGACTTGGGCGGCGCGCAGAGCAGAAGGCAAAAACTGAAGGTGATTTTTCGGCTGAGAAAGAGAAAATTCACAGAGGTTTTTGTCGGTTATTGGCGGCTGTCCTTTTGAGAGAGATATTTGTATGAGGGATCTAAGAGTTTGTGTGAGGGTTTAGATTGAGTGATTGTAAACCCAGTTGTATCTCTCCCTCTATTAGTAGATCTCCCCCCTCCTTGCCCCGTGGACGTAGGCAGTTTGCCGAACCACGTAAAATTTGTGTTCTTGCCGTGATTTGTAATAGCTTGTAGGTTCCCTCGACGCGCAGTCCTAGAGCTGACGAGAGGAAGAGCTGATATCTCACTTTGATGAGATATCTGGCTTTCGGTTCTTGTTTCCTTTGAGAAACGATCGAGAATTCCGTTGTGATCTAATCTCTTGTTGTGCACCTTGCGCACCGGAGGTGCTGCCGAAATTTCCGCTACGCACAACACAAATCTAATCAAAGAAAAAGCGTTCAGTCAAATTTCTCTAAATAATTTTTTTTCGAATATTGATGACTAGTTAAAGGAGCCAACACAATTCTCTCATGTGATGTGAGAGTAGCCTCAAAACGTACATGGCAGTTACCATTATTCGTGTCGAAATTACAAATGGAACATGATGACTAGCTCATTATACAATAGGAGGGGGACACCTCACATGTCTCCCTATTGGTGTTATAATTTGGGTCCCTGTAGCAAAACTCTTACAAATTGACTATCGAAATAAAATAAGCCAGCATAAACTCGCATTATACTCTTTTGAGTCATGAGTCCAGGGAGCAGCATATCCATCTCTCTAGCTATTAATTGGTTGGATATCCAATCAATAATCACACTACTTTATTCTCTAAAGTGCAGATTGGATATCAAGGGATGCAAAGGAGACCCTCATGGGAATATGCCCCGCCGAGGGCAACTCCTCAAGAGACTCTTCTCAGAATATTCTCCTCCCACGCATAAAATTTTTTATTTATTTTATTTCATCTTTCTCCCTTACAAATAGACCCCCACTCCTGCTCCCAATTTTAATCAGACGCCGCCCTCCTCCATTAATCCCAACACTCTCTCGGCAAACGGCGATGATGTTCATAAGGCCGAAGCGGGTATCCGACCCCCTCGACGACAGAGGCGAAGGCTCGCCTCACCGCCGGCTACGCAGCCCAGCCGGCAGCGGCAGCGAGCACGGCGCCGACGACTCCCTCGTCGATTCCTGGCTCGTCCACGCATTCTTTCGACCGCCGACCAAGAAACCGCCGACGAAGGCGCGGCATGCATGGCCCTACTGCAGCGCCACAGACGGCGTGCGGCGGCGGCGTTCGACGGGAGCAGCCGCATCGCGCGAAGCGACCGAGGCCGTGCGCGCGTCTTCTGGCATCGACGTCCAGAGAGTCCCGACGCCTGCGCAGGACGCGGTGTGAGGCGGGAGGGCGAGCGCTGGGCTCGGCCCGAACCGCTCGTCGTACAGACGGGTGGGTGATGGCTCGGCTGAGGGAGGCCGGGTACAATGCCGGCATCTGCAAGTCTAAATGGGAGGGCAGCGGCGGGCTGACCCGGGCAGCTAACGAGTACATCGACGTTGCCGCTCAAGATCAAGCGGCCGCGGCGACGACGACGAGAAGGTATATCGCTAGACCTGGACTTCGCGCCGCAGTTCGCGATCGCGAGGTCGACGGCGGAGTACGAGGAGCTCGTCGCGCTGCTTCCGGACGCGGGTGGTAGCGAGGGGGAGACGTGAGGCGGCTGGTGAGTATAGTGGCGGAAGCGGCGAGGACGTCGCTGAAGAGCGGAGGGCCTGAGCGTGCCGCCCGTGAGGAAGCGGCGGTACATGATGGCGAAGTGGTTCGGGCCCTATCGGCGGACCGTTACAACCGCCTGCCGAGCTCGGCCGGCGCTGAGGCTGACGGCAGTAAGAGAGGTGCAGTAACTGTCGTGCGGTTGGCTTTTGGAGTACTGGGACGCAGCGGAGGGTTGTTGTCCGCTTGAGAGGGACAAGATGAGGGGGGGGCGGGGGGGGGGGGGGGGTTATGCAAGTGAATCGATGATGTGTGCAAGCTTATTTTTTTTTTTGCGGATTAAATCATGCCTGCTCTTGTTTAAAGCATGATCGATGGTAGGGTGACTAGGATCCGATTATTAATCATCTAACAATAAACCAATTATTCAGAAACTAATTTAAAAACAACCATATTGTTATATCTATTATATTGAAATAAACCAATTCCAAAACTTAATAAAAAAAATCCGAAAATCCGTTTGGACTCGTAATCAATATTGAAGAAATAACAAGAAAAGAAAAGAAAAGAAAATCAAATCTTTTAAAAGTTATAAGAACTGATAAATAAATAAAAAATAGGGAGAAAGAGAACGATCATAGCAAATCAAGACTACCATCTTCTCAAACTATCATCATCCTAATGAATTGAGAGTTTGAGACTTTGAGGGGATGAAGGGTTTGTTGATTAAGAAAATCTAATAATTGTTTGAACGTGAGTCCTTATAAGGTCTGTATAGTGTCAGATAGGGCTGAGCATGGTTCGGTTCAAACCGAAAAAACCGACCGAACCGACCCGAACCGATCCGAAAAAAGCGGTTTTAAGAGTAAGGCGGTTCGGGTCGGGTTGACAACTTTTCAAACCGAACCGACCCGAACCGACCGAATATATTCCCAAAACTTTCAAACTCGTTTGTGTTTACCCGACCCGTCCCAAACCCTCAACCCTAACTTCATTTCCTCTCATTCCCAAATCACAGCCGCGCCGCTACTCATTCCCAATTTCCCATTTCACTCGGCCTCAATCCCTCTCTCTCGCTCTCTCTCTCTCTTCTTCCAAGACCCCTTACTCTCCCCTCCTCTTCCCGAAATGCCCCTCCCCCCTCCCCCTCCCGCAAGCGTGGCGGCCCCTTCGACGATGAGCGCTAGGAGTTCTTAGCCATGGCTCAAATGATTTGCATTTGGGCGCATATGAAAACAAATATATACAAATTATCTCTTGGGACAAGTAATATTTATGCCTTTGATTGTTATACTTGATGAAAGTTAGAACCGAACAAACCGAACCGAACCGCACCGAACCGATTTGCAACGGTTCGGTTCGGTTTTGAATTATAGGTGGTTCGGTTCGGTTGTTCAAATTTTGGTAAAAACCGACCCGAACCGAACCGTGCTCACCCCTAGTGTCAGATGATTGGATCTGAACTTATTAGGTTACATTTATGAGTGGAGAAGATGAGTGATATTAGTGGGGGTAAAATAAAGATAAAAAGATAATTTTGTTTCAGACAAGTGCGATGCATAGATTTGTTTAGCATTGAGTTTGTAATTTTTCTTAATATTGGAAAATGTCAAAATCCTGAAAATTTTTATATATAAAAAAAAATTGCAACCTTCATAATTTTCAACAAAAACAAAATAATATAGAATTGTTTATGCATTATATATGCATCGCTCAATTATAAAACTTACTCTCACTTGTATTTCATGTCATTACAACCACATATCCAAAACATCTCAAGTCTATATGACTAATATTAAGCACAATGCTACATCAAATGATTATAATGCAGCAACAAGTTTTCATTAGCACGCGCAATATGTCAAGCGTATGGAGCTATCTATCAGAATTTGAATCTTGTCCATTAGGGGAAAAAAAAATGAAGAGACCATTATTTTTAATCTCAACAACTTACTATTTAGCAGACGGTTATCATACAATCTAAATCTAACACTCACGTGCATTGCACTCATTTCTAATTTGCACCCAAAGAAAAATCACAACTACTAATTCGATAATTGATAGTTATAATTATGTAGTGGTCCCTCCACTACTTTTTTTAAAAGCGGAGAGGATCCAAATCCTATCTATCAAGTATAAAGATCCGTAAAAACCCCATAGTTATAAATTAATTGTTGAGATAATTAAACACAAAGCCAGAAAATAGAACAATCACAAACACAGTATTTACGTGGTTCGATCAAATTGATCTACGTCCACGGCAAGAGGGGAGTTTCACTATATTCAATCTCTCAAAATACAACGCACAATTCAATCTCTCAAAATACAACGCACATACTAAATTTGAGAGGACTCTTCTTTTGTTGCTCTCTCGCTCTCTCAGGTTGTAAACACACAGAGAGTTTAAGAAGGAATGTGAGATTGTGAGAATCCAACCGGGGGCCCCATCAATTTGACCTCTCTTCTTCCGAAATGAGGGCGACAACAATATTTCAAGGCTGATATTTTGACGGCTCAAATCAGCCGCAATTCTTGAAAAACTTAAGAGAGATGAAGTGAAAGCGACATTGACTACGACCTCTCTTTCATTTTCTTCTAGCCGTAATTGTTGAAACCAAAACAAAAAAACGTTGAAGAAGTGAACGCTGTAAATCTCTTCTTTGATTCTACAATCAAAGTCGGGTCCCGCCATTTATGGATTCAAGCCATAAAATCAACAATCTCCACCTTGGATTGAATCCCCAAACATCAATAACTAGTGAGTCTTCACCCGTCTTGCAAACAATGCCCCAAAAGGGGCCACCTAACAAGTGCGAATGCCTCCCAAATTCAAGCAGTGCTTGAACTTGAAGGCCGGGATCGGTTTGGTCAACATGTCAGCTGGGTTGTCTGCAGTACCAATCTTCTTCATCGTGATGTTTCTTTCAGCAGTTGCCTCACGAATGAAATGATATCTGACATCAATATGCTTTGTCCTCTCATGATGTGCTGAGTTTTTGCTTAGATGTATTGCGCTCTGATTGTCGCAAAATACAACTGAACTAGCCTCCTGCTGTAGTCCAAGCTCCCTCACGAGATTTCTCAACCAAATGGCCTCTTTTACCGCTTCTGCTGCTGCCATGTATTCTGCCTCTGTAGTAGACAAAGCAACTGTCGACTGTAGAGTTGATCTCCAACTAATAGCTGAGCCAGAAAGAGTAAAAAGATAACCAGTCAAAGATCTCCTTTTATCGAGATCACCTACATAGTCAGAATCTACAAAACCTACAACTGAGGTTCCCAAAGTACTGCTATCAAAAACTAAACCTAAATCTGAGGTACCCCTGAGATACTGAGATACCGTAGGATCCACTTCACTGCTTCCCAGTGTGCCTTCCCTGGTTGAGCCATGTATCTGCTCACTACACTGACTGCCTGGGCAATGTCTGGACGAGTGCAAATCATAGCATACATAATGCTACCCACTGCATTAGAGTATGGAACTCGGGACATCTCCTTCTTCTCGTTTTCACTTGTAGGTGAATCTGAAGCCGAGAGCCTAAAGTGAGGAGCCAAAGGAGTCGTAACGGGCTTGGCCTTCTTCATCCCAAAGCGTTCAAGTATCTTTTCAATATAGCTCTTCTGTGAGAGATATAATGTTCCAGCTTTCCTGTCCCTCCTGATCTCCATACCTAAAATCTTCTTTGCTGCACCAAGATCTTTCATCTCAAACTCATCATTGAGTTGTTTCTTCAAAATAAGAATCTGTGACATGTTCTTAGCAGCAATAAGCATGTCATCGACATATAATAGAAGATAAATAAAAGAATCATCTCCTAGATGCATGTAGTACACACAACTATCATAAGTACTTCTTGAGTACCCATGGCTAAGCATAAAATTATCAAACCTCTTGCACCACTGTCTGGGAGATTGCTTCAGGCCGTACAAAGATTTCTTTAATCTGCAAACTTGATCTTCTTTACCTTCTACGATGTATCCCTCTGGCTGAGACATGTAGATAGTCTCCTCAAGTTCGCCATGTAAAAATGCAGTCTTCACATCAAGCTGCTCAAGCTCCAGATCAAATAGAGCAACCATGGCAAGCAATACACGGATGGAGGTATGCTTCACAACCGGAGAGAACACTTCATCATAGTCAATTCCCTCCTTTTGTCTATAACCCTTAGCCACCAACCGTGCTTTGAATCTAGCATCTTCAACCCCTGGGATCCCTTCTTTCTTCTTGAAAATCCACTTGCATCCAATTGCCCTTTTACCCTTAGGTAATTGCACCAAATCCCAAGTCTGATTCTTGTAGAGTGACTCGAGTTCTTCTATCATAGCCGTGGCCCAACATCCAGATTCTCCGCATGAGACAGCTTCAGTAAAGTTTGATGGCTCTTGAATACTCATCTCTTCAGCTGTCGTGAGAGCATACGCCACTAATTCAGCATGTGCATATCTTTGAGGAGGTTTGATCTGTCTCCTCTCTCTGCCAGTGGCTATGGAATAAGGTTCTTCAGTCTCAGCATCATCAGCATCTGAGCCTGAATCATGTTGCTCTTCTACAGCTGTAGGAGCAAATTTTATAGACGACTTTTGAGACGTCTCTCCCTCGAGCTCCACCTGAAGCTCCACCTTATCCATGGTCTTCTCTACATTTCCTGTAGACTCAACAGAAACCTTCCCATGATCAAGCATATATCTTTCATTAAAAGTAACATCTCTACTAATAATGAATTTAGGAGAATCAGGTTCAAGACTCCACAAACGATAGCCTTTAACGCCATCAGCATAACCAATAACTATGCATTTCTTAGCTCTAGGCTCAAGCTTACCCTCTCTAACATGATAGTAAGCGGGACATCCAAATACCTTTAAATTTGAATAGTCATTTGGTTTACCTGACCATACCTCATTTGGAGTATTGTATTCAATGTCGGTAGAAGGAGACCGGTTCACAAAGTAACAAGCTGTATTAATAGCTTCAGCCCATAAGTCTTTATCCAACCCAGAGTTTGAGACCATACACCTAGCTCTCTCCGTTAATGTTCTATTCATGTGTTCTGTCACCCCGTTTTGCTGAGGAGTGTGCTGACCGTGCGATGTCGTACGATCCTAGAATTTGAGCAGAACTGATTGAACTCTCCACTGCAGGACTCTAGGCCATTATCTGTTCGGAGATGTTTAATCTTCTTTTTAGTTTTAT